CGATCTCGATTTACCCACAATCTGGATTGTGACTGTCGCCAGTGGAACGTCGTGCTGTTCGCACAGGTAACTCGCTTGAGAAGAACCCGGCTATTACACGCGATGATAAAATTGACATAACTACGCGGTAAGTCACAAACACCAACAAACAAAATGGAAGTTTTGGTTAGAAATAAATACTTTTTCTTGCCGTATATCTAATAATAGACAGATGTCATCGTCTCTCCAGATGTCTTTTTTATTTTTCTGTCGATAGCCGGACACGTGTTCAGCAGCCATCTTGTATTTCCTCGCGCGCATGGGATTGTGGGATCTCTCTTATGACTGGATCTAGTTTCAAGAACTCTCTCCAGTCGATCGCGATATAGCCTCGTTTCAGTCGAGATTGAAACGGTCGAGAGCATTCGCACCACGGAACTCTCTCCGACCTTAGTCACAATCTAGATCGAAATGCTCGGTGCGAACGGGGTATTAGTCCGTAAAGTTCCCACCTATCGGGCTGCGATTGGCTCATGTATTTAATCGTTCCTACAACGTAATTTTTGGTTAGCGTGGAACGTATCTAAGCGTTATAGGGGGTCTACTGTAGTACGGCTGCTCGTCCACTATTGGTCCAGATTCGGCCAATCCTGTCACAACACGAGTCGGCGATGACGTTTTAACACATTTTACGAGTCTCTTTTAGCGTCTTTATACGAATACGGTCGCAATTTTTTCGTCGTGATATACGAATCCGCATTATATGAACCTGCATTATAGGGGGGTCTACTGGTACTATGGTCGTTGAAATATTGAATATAAATGGGGTTTGCTTGCAAAATCCGCACGGGCGAAGTCGTTGGTAACAGCTAGTAATAATATAAAAACAATTTGTAAAATGCATTGAAAAAATAATTTATTCTAATGTTTATAGAATGAAATTAATTTATTTATATTAAGTTTTTTTTATTTCCAATTGTCCAATAAATTATGAAATTTGTTCTCATTGGTTTTTACATCAGGACAAGTTAAAAGTAAAGATATTACTCTAAATCTACTCATCAAACAATACTAAAACTAACCTAAAATTAGAATGAATTATCTTTCCAATATATTTTATGTAATAAATCCACATGTTGAATTTAATTTGCACTTTAAAATTACAATAATTTATATGCTGTAAAATACCTTGTATTACAGAATTATTAAGTTTATTTCATATTTAAAGCAGGTTTGATAAATTTACATGATTGTTGAATTCTGACAGTCTTACATAGTTTAAGATATATAGCCTATAATGGCATGCCAGATAACTGCTAACAGCAAAAGTGTAGATTATCTGTATACTGTATTGTATTAATACTAGGTAGCTGAATAGTTCAGTCAATGTTAACTTGCTTATAATTAAACTTTAAAAAATTTTTAAAAAGCAGGCAAATTTATGAAACAAAAATTAATGAAATTACTAAAAAAATTTCAAATAAATTTAAATTTGATTATCTTTTGTGGAAAACAACACTAAAACAATTTAGTTATGAGGCAAAAGAAAAAAAAAGTTTCAATTAATTTTAAAAATTTTAATTAAGAGTTTTAAAATGCAGGCAAAATTAACGCAAAATTAAATACAGTAAATAGTAATAAATGTAAATTATTTTAAATAATTATAAAAACTAAAACTTAAATAAATTAGATCTAAAAATTAAAAATTAATTGGAACTTTGGCCTTTACACCGATACCGAAACTAAAATTAATTTTTGGGCTGCAATTTGAAAAATTGTAGATCTATAAATTCCCACTATCGTTGTCAGTCTGCCCTTCCGTAATCTCGAGAACGGTGTTAGATAGACGAAAGTCAAGACCGGGTATGGAAAGCTTAGGGGCAGGAGGTCCCAATTAACTTTATACGAAAGTCGTGATTTCTCGAATGATGTTACATAGACGCTGCTGTTATCAGGAAAAGTATGATGTACGGGGACAAGCCACTACTAATTTGAGATAATGAACACATTTTAAATTAGATAAAAAATTAAGAATGTGGTTAAAAATTGCAACTCGGCATTGTGACGATATCACAATAAATAATTGTTTTAATTTTAATTTAAACGTTTAAAAGATGTTTTGAAATTTAAAGACATTATAATCAGTACAGTGATGCCTTCCGATATCGTGGTTAATAAGTAAAGATTATATTGGATTGAACAGAAAGTTTTAATGCATTTTTAATAGCTGTGGTTATCTGAAATAAATGTGTGATTTAATTATAACAGTTGTGAAATTTAACACATCATTGTTGTTGATTTCTTTGTTTTAGAATGTGTAGTTTATATTAAACATTGCTACGTTAAAAGTAAACGTTGATTTACATTTGTTCTAATGCGCGTGGTCATATCCAGACTCGAAGACAACCGTGACAAAACAAGATAGTCACATGAAATTTTTGTAATTCGTCTGATGTGAGATCGACGAAGCAAATTTGAAATTGATTTGCCCCTTTACATCATACTTTCCTGTTATAGAGTCCTGCCGGTCATTATCTAACTCCTTTCGGGCAAAAGTTTTGATTGAAATAACGTCACTTCCAGTCTAGATCGGAAGTTCGTATATAGTTAATCGGGGCCTCCGGCTCCTAAGTTTCTATAGTTTAGGAACAGGAGGTTCCGATTAGCCCCTCTCACTTCCATCTAACTCCGTTCTCGAAATTAAGGAAAAAACGGACTGACGACGGTGGGAATTTATATCTATAGTTTTTTCAAATTTCAGCTCAAAAAGTAAATGTAAAAATAATAAAAACTCTGGCCTGTACACCGAAATGTATGTGCTGTACTGAACAGATACACGCATGGTTTGCTCAACCTTCGCAACTGTCTCGTCGAAAATTGACGATCAGCCGCAAACTCCCTACCCCACTCGACGTTTTTGACATCTACGCACGACTCGCTATAACTTCCGTCAATTGGCGATGAATTTCAATTGGTTTAACACGACATGGCGGCGAGCCAGTACGACGTGGGCATACAAAAATGCATCGACCGAAATGGCGATTATGTAGAGCCTTAAAATGATATGAACATTATTGAAAATAAGCGTTTCTTTGTATTTAAAAAAATAGGAGACCTTACTTTTGGGATTACCCTCGTATATACAGTATATATCACCTTTTCATATAAAAATTTGAAAGCGTCATTAACATAAACAAAATTTTAAGCTCCATATTTTATAGTTATAATTTGCAATAAGTGTATGTAATACAGTACTTAATATTTTTGTGTCACTTTTGTAGTCTGAGAGTTTAAGTACGACTTATTTATTTTTCAGATTTTTACGGCCCATTAAAAGCGGAGAAGAAATATTAATCGAAGCAAAATTACTTCAAGTAGGCAAAACGTTGGCATATTCGACCGTAGACATTAAAAATAAAAAAACGGCAAAATTAATTGCAACGGCACATCACACAAAATACGTAGGATGAATTTTTATCAATACTGTTATTATAATATCAAATTGTTAATTGCAATTAGTTAACATTATACAGTTGTTAAGAATACTTAATTCTTAAACAAAAATAGGCAATATTTTTTATTTGAATATCATGTATATTAATTAAATAAATATCTTCAAGGAATTAAATAAGATTAACGAGAATGTAAGACTATTTCTAAACAGGAATACTTTGTTTAATGTATGTATATTTATAAAAAGAGAAATTTATTAATAAAATAGCTTCTGGTAGTCTTGTGCTTAATTTTTTCAGAAATGAAAAATGGCTAACATGTTTGAAACGAATTTCAATATTTACTACAACAAGAAATTACAGTCTGCCCATCTTTCTTAAAGATGTTTACAGATTGATGTCAATGCTCAATCATATTTCAAATCAAATAATTCGTCTTCTTCCAGTGAAATGTAATTAAATATGTTTTTATACAAATCCAATTTTTCTTTAAATTATTTTCTAAATCTATGATGTAGAAAACTAACTTTGATATCTTTTATTAGTTTCCTTATACAATGGAAGTTTGTTAATGTGGCCTGTGGAAAATAGCCGATAATTCGGACTTTGTTCGATAATTTGGCACACGCATTCCGCAAATTGCAATTTGTTTCGGTGTTGTGCTAAACAAAAGCTCAGTGCTACAAGAAATTACACATCACAGACATGTTTCAAAGGAAAAGTTATAATTACGTGATTCCAGATAGGTTAATACGTAATAACCAGATGATTCTTTCACTATCGTAAGTCCGCTGTTAGAAAGTAATTGTAGGAGAGACACGGTTAATCACTGTTTTAGAAGTATTTTTATTGTTGCTGTTCAGTCAAAAGATACATTTGGGCACGAGCCCCTCAGCAATATAGCCTATGCGTTATAAAATACAATAAGTTATAAGTTAAATATTAAATTTAATCGCTTGTAAAAGCTTGCTGCGACAAAGTTCTACAAGATTTGTAAGAGAGCGAAACTCTCCGAAAACGACGTCACCGTCCAAGAGATTCGTTGGCTTTCCACCACCTTTTCTCTGGGTAAATTAAGCATCGGGATTTCCATACACTATTGGAATTAAGCGCATAAACTTTTACTATTATGTATGGATTCGGATGCGACGTTAGAGATATTGACGAACACATACACACTATAAATATATATTCGTAACCATTTTTTTTTAAAAATCGAAACTCGAACAGTCAATGAATCGCAAATAAATGCGAAGATTATCGTTCATAAAATCGACGTGTTATTTTTCACATGTTAAAATCCACTGCGAAAAGTCAAAAATAGAATACAGTACACGAATTTTAACTACAATTTCATCGTTTTACTCGGCAACGACTATTTCACACGACGGAAATGTAAATTAATAAAAAAACTGGGAGGAATGTAGTCATTACTTTTTTATTCCATCGGAAAGAGCGGATAAACGAACGACATCGTTTTATTTTTGCACGTTTACATATTGACGTAAGACGCGAATTCGCTTCGAACGGGTACAGTCCGGAACGGAATTAACTTCAAACGACACATAGTTCTACGGCATCTCCCGAGTAATCGTTCATAACCGATTCCGAAAACTTCTGCTTATACGTTATCGAAGTTTTAATAAATCCCATTTCTTCCAATAATTCTCCGCTTTTGTTGATTCCTTCGGGACGGTAAGGACTAAACGCCATTATCGAACCCGCTATTTCCGGCTGGCGTCTGACGTAATTTGCCACCTCGCGTAGAATTACGCGAGCGAAATCTTCGGAAGTGGCGTACATGGGCGCCAAAAGCCATCTGCCGAAATATTTGAAAAGGTAGCAATAATTATCCGTTTCCTTTTGAAAGATGTAGAATCCCACCGCGCTCTTAATGTCAAAATATCGCAGTAAAAAGCGGCTGTCCAGCATGGAGGGTTTTTCGGAGCAGAAAGACAAAGTTCGTCGAAAACGCACCACGCATTTACATAAAGTTTGAGCTGGATGGCTAACGGACACCGTTCTCAACATCCTGCAGTAGGTCTCGTACACGTCGATGTTCCAGCGAGAAGTGTAAGAAATAAGTCGGGCGTTTACGTTACGGCCGACTTTTACGTTTACGTACACGTAACGCGGAGAAAGATGTTTGACGGCTTCGTCTAGTAGTTGCGATTTGAGTAAATCCGTCGCTTCTTTGTACTCCTCGTTAATCGCGCAGTTCACGATCATCCCGATTTTCCAATCGATAGCGATACAAACGCAGCATCCGATTACGAGTCCTATAAATAAAAATAAATAAATAAAAACGTACTTGGTCGTGGTCGGAACATCATTTCGAGAGTCGCCTACCAGAATTGCCCAAGACGGCGACTAGATAAGCGTCGGAGTCTCGAGAGCGAAGTTTGAATAATTCGGCTATTTTGAGTTTAATGCCATCCGCTTTAAAAAGATTCAAAGCTTGTTTCTCCTCCCCGCGACTTTCTATAGGTCTTATGTCGTAAGGTGGAATTTGCAATCCGTCCACTATCGGCGATTCTCCATCTGTCGTCGGAGTCGATACGTCGTCGTCTTCTTCGCTACAAATGTAGAAGCCGGGAAGTTCAACCGAAGAGCCGCATAACTTAAGAGACGATAACATGATAAAAATGCAGTAAAATTTCAACCAGAATAATTTAAAATACAAAATCTAACTGAATCGTTATCGAACTCATAAATCCATAGGAATGCCAATCAAGAAAGAATGTTCGGTTAACGTAAACTGTCTATTTAAAAAAATCAAGTTGGATAAATAAATACCTAAACCGACACTTCATCGTTTACGTATTATATAAAGAAACTTTCAAATTTCGTTTTTATAAAATCGATTTCTAATTAAAATGTAAAAACGATTGTTTTTACGCTTTAAGTACCAAACCGCTATGTAAAATAGTACAGCGTGATATGGCGAGCGATGAATATTAAATACAAACGATTTTTGACTAAATATTAATTTCGGTGATAACTTTTCTTCCGCGAGAAAGTTATAAATTTAAATACATAGATTATTTTAAAAATCTAACTTTTCCGCTATAGGTTTGACGTTTTCTATAGTCGCCAGGTGGTGCTTTTTATTGTTTTATTCTGCTATAAAGTTAAATTTAAGGGAAATTAACGAAACTTTTCTAATTGATATGAAACGTTTTTATGGAATTTCGTGCGAATGCTTTTATGGCAACGAAATATCTGCGATTAGAAGGATGCTTAAATTTGTATGGATTTATTACGTTACGGTTTATACACACGACTGTGTGTTCGATTAAAATGGAGGGTAAATTAAAATTTCAACTTTTCATTAAGTATAATGTCAGAGATGATTAGATGTTTAACGATCCGCTCTTTTGTCGTACGCGCTGTTAATGACAATTGTTATCGAGTGGCCACTCCACGTTACGTTCAGATACGTGCGTGTTTCGATGACAATTGTATTTCGGTTTTACAATTAAAAGTGGTTAAAGGAATTAAACGATTCCATTCGCTTTGCTCTGTGATTAAATATTCCTTGCGTGACGAGTAATCGTTTATACAAATGTTTCGTCAACTTTCAAATATTTAACGTCGTCCAACCGAACGCTTTGATACTGCTTTTTCACAGATTTTATGAACGGTTCCTCTTAAAATTTTTTTCTTCCTTTAAAGCAATTTTATCACCCTCTTTCGTTAAAAAAAAAAATAAATTTCTTTACGAGTAAATTTTAAAAATCTCAAAATGAGGTAGAACTATTCCAAAATAGAACATGCCAATTAAGAAATAACAATATGTTACTTTTCTGGATGTGTGGAATTAGCCTGTGGTATAAATGCCTTAAAATAGACCTTTTTGAACGTTTGTGTGAAAAACAAATTTCAAAACTTTATACGGAATAGTGGAATTGCTTTCTTTTTTATTAAATTTTTTTGTTTAATTTTCTAGTATTTTTGTCCGTGCCACGTTTTTCGGATCGGTCTACGACTAATGGATGCTGTCGTGCGTGGGTTTATATGTTAAAAACTATAGATTCTTTTAAAAATTTTGGTCGGTCGATTAAGTGCCGGTTAATGCCCGTTGTTTCGTCGGTCCGATTTGGCCAATCGAGCCGGTTCCGTTTGTCGAGAATGCGATACGACGTTATCGTTTATTTATTAATACGTTTTATATTATAAAGAATACGTACTTTAAATGGAAAACGTACATTAATGATCGAAATCTGTAATGTGTTAAAAGAGAAAAATGATTTTATTGACGGTCTTGGATAGAATTTTTTTTTTGTAAGAACGCGAAAGAGATTCCGAGTTACGAATTTGTTTGTCGTAATGCCGTGGAAAATTTTTAATTGCGAATTTAAAGTATGCCGGCTTAAACGCGAATAAAGTCGATGTCGCGGTTGCTTCGTCGAAGAAAATACCGAGGTTTTCCTTTTCAAAAATAGTGATATCTTTACAAAAGCCTCTTTTAATGAAATGTTTCCTTAGAAAAAGAATTTGGCATAGTCCAAAGCAGTGTGGTTGTTACGATTAATACAATAATAATCTTTTCGTAAAAGATAGGATTATCTTCTACTAAAAATGTTTCGAAGAAAAAATACTAATAAATGTGTGCATTCGTTCAAAAAAATAAAAACACTAGTGATATGCTAATTAGTATATATTGAAGTATAAACTTTTCAAAACTTTTTGGTCCACCCCAATTAGAGAATGTAAGATCTCAAACTCTATGCATTCCAGTTAATGTTAAAAAATCTAACCTAATTACTTCGTAAGTTGTAAATTTAAATTGATGCGCCGAATTTGTTCGCAAGTAAAATGGTTATCGTCTTAATGATGTGCTATAGAAAATTTCTTAACTATAGTAAAATATTAAAATGACCAAATTTTCTGGAAAAAAATAGTTGGCCGTATAGATCAAAGTATATATTGAGATAAAAAGATTTTTTTTAATGGATCTTGTGATAGATCAAACTAGTATAGTTGGTGATAATAAAACTGTTCAAAAAAATTTTATTGTACAAAAATGTATATAGAATTTTATAAACACACGCAATTGAATTACTATATAAAAAATTATATATATCCACTAACCTTTTAATGCTTTGCAGTAAATTTTAACTTATCGCCCGAAGAAGGTCCTAGGGTGGGCCGAAAATGTTTGTGATACGTTAAAATTTACTGCAAAGCATTAAAAGGTTAGTGGATATGTATATTTATCAATACTTTGTTTCTTGGATGGCTTTTATATAAAAAAATTCATTTGATTAATTCCTTTGTTTTGTAATACCTATAATATAAAGTTTTATTAGTAAAATTTCAGATTGGTTAATTTTTACTTCAAAATTAACTTATTCTTATTATGACACTTATGATACATCTGAAAATGTGAATTATATGAAATTTTATGGTTTTTACATATGAAATGATGTTCAAAAGATTTGAGAAATAAATAATTAAAACTTAAATAAATAGATTAAAATAATTGGTACTGCATTTTGCCTTTATTTAGTTTTATACATTTTAAAAATATAATTTTTAATCAATATATTGATTATAAGAATTATTCATTAATGTAAAACTGATAACTTTATTGATATGATGTTCCAATGATTGCTATTAAATTAAATAAATGAAATTTTACAATACATAATTATCAGTATTTATTTTATATACATTTTTTTTCTAGAAACATCATAGGAAGAGAATTTCTTTATTATTGTAATATAAGATGGATTTTAATTTGACTCCTGTATTATCATGTGATGAGAATTCTGAAGATTTTATTACAGAGAATTATCCAGAAATAGTTAAGTCATTTTTTTATAAATTTTAAACTTAGTGTGTAATGAAATTATGAATTTAATTGTGAAATATGACACTCATATTGTTTGTAATAATTTACAATTAGCCACAAATTATATTAAAGTTTACTACTATTCTAATTTCTATACAATCTATATTTGTTTACCAGAAGTCCTTTTTTAAGATTGATAATATGTCAATACAGTAGAGTCCCAAAAACTCGGCACTCGATAACCCGGCAGTCCGGATAACTTGGCCACACCCTGGCAGGGCAAAAAATCCCCTAGTTAATTTTCATTATAGACAGCTTTATGCCTCAAAGTATTTTTCTGAGGTCTGTCTTATCAGGTAAATTACTGTACACTGTGTATTCGTTAATTTTAATTTTTATGTAGTAAAGGCTCTATGCCTTCATAAAGGACGTACTTTTCCTTTGTTTAAGGGTATTTGGGCAGTTTATTCTCTGTTGTAATCTCAAGCAAACAATACATACAAGTACTGTACAGTACAATATTTTCTGAGGAAATACTCATACTTATTCTTTTTTAACCCCATTCCCAATAACCCGGCATTTTCACAAACTTGGCCACCCTTTGGTCCACATTAGGTCGAGTTTTCGGGACTTTACTGTATTATCAAAATTTTCCAAAAGTTTAATTGACCCAAGAACAAGTAGCATTTGAACATTATTCAAGATAACAATGTAGATGTAACAATATTTTTGTAAATTAATACTTGTGAATAATGAACTGTTAATATTTATAATAAACACATGATTATGCATCATACTTTAGTACAGACTTGAGCATCACCAGGCATTCCCCATCTTTTTGCATTTGCTCATAAACCTAAAACCTCATAAAAAAGCATGCGGATGCAGCCTATTTTGGATTAATTAGCCTCACCTAATATCCTGTTAGAAAAATGGATGCATATGAATATTTCTTAATTCACATTTTCACTGCACTTTAAAATTTGTTCTTTTCCTTCAAATTCAAGACCACAAATAGCACAAGCATTCATCAACTTATCCTGCTCACCTGCAATACTTTTGTCAATACATTGCTCACATTTATATTTTTGTGTAAATTTATAAAAGTCTTTAAAACTCAAATCCTTTAAATTAAGGCACATAGTGCAGAAAATGGCTTTATATCCCTGAGAACAGTTTATCCTTATCACTTTCCCTATAAACACATTATTACATTTCACACAATGTGACATGCCAATCAGCATACTATTATCTGCTAAGCCTAATTACATCTTCATCTGCAACAGTGTTTCTCAACCTCTAATGAATCATCACCCCCTTCACTTCAAAAACAATTTTGTTGGGTGTATTAGTTTAATTTTTTACAAAGTATATAATTACCAAATAAATATTTATTTAGTCAGAATACATATTAGATTTTGATATAATTAACACAATTAAAATTAAGCATTATTTGCTGTGAATCCCCGCTGCAAGCTTCAAAATTCCGATGATGAGGGCCGAAATTCGTATTGCATCGAATAGACTAGTCACTAGTATAATGTTATTTGTTTAATTATTGTATGATATAACGAATAAGATATCTAATTATTCTTAATATAATGTTTACTATACAGTCCAGAAAATTGTTTTTCGCCCCAAAATGAAAATTGTTACTAATTGCCCCCCAATATGGAAAAACGCCCACATGGGGGCGATATCGCACCCGTTCTCATTGAGAAATACTGATCTACAAGAAGGAGATTAGGAATTAGCTAAACAAAACAAAACTTATCTGACAGTATGTCCTCTTGGTGAAACACAATCAGAAGTTAAATTTCCATAAAGTCAACACAAATACATAAACACATACACATAAATAGTCATCAGAAAGATAATTTTTACTGCAAATTAAAAATTAGTTATATACAATTCTGAGTTAAAAAATTGTCAAAACAATAAAATAAAAGAAAAACCACAATTATTGCAAGTAATATGCAGAAATCTTTAAAAAAAAATGTCTTTCCTCCTCAGCCACATGACAAGTAAAATATACCACCATTTTCTCAAAAGTCATTTTTCTTTAAATGGATGATGATTTTGATTTTACCTAAATAATTAAAGAATTCTTTCTAGACTATTTTCTTGTTAACAGAAACAGTTTTTTACAGTTTGGAATGTATCAAACAGTCATTATTTGAAATTATCCTTGCATGCAAATATTTTATACCTCATTGTAATATCTGTACAATATCATAACAACCATAAGGCAGTGACAGTTTATAAATGAGTCATTGTTTTAATCAATTTTAACATTTATCAATATGAAAAATAATAAATTTTTTAATTACAGTAGAGCATCGATTATCTGACCCCTGATTAACTGTCACATCAGTTAACTGACCGTTCTAGTCAGCAAATTCAAATGTCCACTAGTGATGTGGCGCTACAATATTTGGCTATGTCTTGGCTACTTTAATAGTATTTTTACATGTATTAGCTGGCAACATGGTTCGACCATGTAACCAGCCAGTATTTAAACGAGGCTTAATTTTCTAATTTTTAACGATACAATAGCGACAATTATTATTTTAAAAAAATTTTTGTTAGGCTTAACATTGATGAAAATTCAATGTGAAGTAGGTTAATAGTGATATACTAATATACTAATTACATGAGATATACTAATATACTATACTAATGTATTTTTTCATATTTTTCGGTTATCCGTTTTTTTCAGTTATCCGACCAACCCCAGTCCCCAATTGAGTCGGATAATCGATGCTCTACTGTATCTAGCTTTGAAAACTTCATTGAATAGTGACCTTTTTAAATGTGTAAAAGATGTATTTTCAACATTACATAGAAAAATTTGTTAAAAAGAGAGATTCATAATATGGAAGTGTGACTATATATATAAATTTTAAAGTTATACATATGCAAACATATATTAAGCANTAGAAGACAGAGTTTCAAAGTTCGGGGGAATACTATCCGATCAGTATATACTGGGTAGAACGTCGATGTCGACGTCTCCCGGGCTCCGAAAAGTTTGAATTGTTGCCTGAAGACAAAGGAAGACCAATCGGTATTCGTTATTTTACGTCGATTCTTGTGTTTGTTCAGTGAAGTGTTTGTTATCTGAACATGTGCTCGTTGTCCGATCATAAAAATCTTTCTCGAAAGAGTTCGTTATCTGATTTGTTTGTTAACCGATCTGTTCGTTAACCGATCACCCACTGTATATAAAAATTCATCATTTTAAGAAATTCAAAAAATTGGAATAAATTATTTATTGTTAAAAGACTTTAAATGTAAGATTATGACAATTTTTTGACTCAGAGTTGTACAGTAGTAAATATTTCAATAATTTGTTGAGTTGCCTTTTTTTTCCAAAACAGCTTTCAGTCTGTTTGGCATTGATTTTACTAGTTTCTCTGTGATATTCATTTCAATTTTCGATCATTTATGTTCAAGAATGTGTTTCAGTTAATTTCCGTTACTAATATGTTTTGAACCTTTTTATGTAATTCATTACAAAAGTTTGATTACATTTAGATCACAAGCCTGTCCTGGTATCTCAATCATTTTTAGGCAATTATAAAGCAGCTGCTGTCAAACTTTAATAAGACTTGTGTTTTGGATCATTATCTTGATGAAAGTGGAAGGTGATTGAGATACCTAGTTTTTCTGCAGAAGTCTAGATTTTGTTTAAAATATTTAAATATTCTTCAACATTCATATTTTTATTAACCTTTCTAGAGAGGGTTAGTCAGATATGGCACTATCATGATGTAGTGGAGAATAAATGTGGGAAATTTTTAAAGAATTTTTCCATGCATTTTTCTCGTTTCCATTTTGGAAAAAAAATTTTTAACAGTTATGTGTAGTAAAGAAAAATCTTTCTTTATTGTCACATAATTCCTTTTTTATGTGAATTTTTTTCACTGTAATTTTTGGCTAGTTTTTCGCGATATTCACAAAAAAGTTTTGTGGATATAGATACAGTGACCATACGTCCTTTATTTAAGAGGACAGTCCTTTATTTCACTGCTCTCTCCTTTAGCTTTATTTATTTTCTAAAATAGGCATTTTGTCCTTTATTTTGTAAAGTTGACGCAAAGTTTAAAAAAATTTTTAATAATATATTGAACAAGTTAGTTTTGTGTACGCCATCACGATCTGTGTTGCATTGCTACATAGAGCGCAGTAGTGCAGTGTGTCGCCAACCAAACGGCCCACTGACAGTACCAGGGGGTGGACACTCTTATGGGGATTTTTGTGATAGTTTTTTAACTCTCTAGTTGATGGATGATACACTTGTTAATTAAAGCTGAAGTTAGTTGAAAGAAAAAATGAGGGGTTTCTTCCTATTGTTATTAGAAAAGTGGTTTTAGCATTAGAAAAATCAGAAAATATACAAGCCAAAAAATTCAATGATGCTGTGTACACATTTTATCAAACGTGCATAGATTATCTAAATAATTGGGACATGTTTTTTATTGAAATAGAGGTGTTTGAATGGGTCACATTATGCGAAATCCCTTTGTGGGCGAAAGTAGAGGAAAGCTATATCTTTATTTCGAATCATTGGTCCGTAAATATACTCGACGGTGAATTATTTGATGAAGTTTCATGTGTAAAAAAATATGTCACAAACGAAAAGATCGACGAATGGTGACAGAATAACCAGCCCTGCCATCAAAGGTGGATTGAGATTTTTGAACATTTTACAGCAGAAGAAATTGTTTTCAAAAACGTTTGTAAAATCGTAGAATTTTTTTTGTCTTCCTGGATCTAATGCCCCCGTTGAACTAATATTTTCATTGCTGAATAATATGCGGACGAATGAAAAAAACCCATTTAAAAGTAAGCACATTAGAAGCATGTATTTCTGTCAAATACAACTTTCAAATGAACTGTATCGAATTTTATGACTTTAAAGCGTGAAACGGCGCTATAAAAAAATTAATTCTACTGAAAAGTATCAAAATTAATGTTATTTAAATTTTTACAATGTGTGTATATGTAATAATTCAGATTGTTTAAAATTTTAATGTATGCATTGTTGTATGCTACTATTTTCGTAATAAATGTTATAAACTTATGAATTTTATAAGGTATTTTTTGATTTTCTTTGATATGTCCTTTATTTTCCCCCAAAAAATATGGTCACTGTAGATATAGACTAAACACAACAATTAACACCTAAATGCTAATTCCAGCACTGAATGAACAAAATTTTAATGCTCGAACGTTTTCATCCGTCTTTTACTTTGATGGTCAAACTTACATCCAAAAAAGGGGCGTACCAATGGGTAGCCCAATCTCTGGGGATCTGTGCGAACTCGTCATACGAAAATTAGAAGAAAAGGTCCTTACTAAGCTTACAATCCAATATCCTTAGCTACATGCAGTACATGGATGATATTTTGATTATATGGAAAACCAAACCTGATATATAGAGAGTGTTAGAAGCCTTTAACAACAATGCCTACAGCTTAACACTAAAGTTAGACCAGGAAAGTCGCATAGAGGTTAACTATTTAGATGTCAAGATTAATACGGCGAATAAAAATATAACCACGACCATTTACTGCAAACCAGCATACTGTCCTCTCTTTATACCTGCTAACTCAGCAGACCCATGGCCTTTTAAGGTATCAGCTTTTCGGGCCCTAGTCTCAAGGGCTTATTCCCACTGCTCTGAAGCTTCTGATATCCACAGAGAACTGAAACACGTCAAACATATAGCATCGGCACACGGGTACCACCAGTCCTTAGTAGACAGGCTAACTGCCAACCAGCAATCTACAATAACTACCACCAACATGTGGGTTAATGATGCGCAGCACAACCAGGTAGTTTTATCTTACAAACCGTCCCTTCAACAAATTTTTAGTAAAATCGCTAAGGAGTTGAATGTGCACTTAACATATAAGAGAAAACAGAATATTTTCCGACTTATCTAATGCTAAGGACAAGTCCGATGATAAGAAAGCGCCAGGGGTGTACCGCATCTAGGGAATTCGATCCCGGTCCTTATTTCTAATCCCGGGATTTCGGGATTATACTTATTCGATCCCGGGATTATTTCGGTATTGAAGGTTAATAAAAAATAAGAAAATCTTACAGAAATTAAAAATCAAAATTTAGACAAAAATCAATGTATTTTACGGTATACACCTAGTTAATTTAATCACTCTAATTAATCAGACTTACAGTCAGACTAACCAGACTTAAAATCACTGTCTTCATGTTAAATTTATTCTTTTTTAAGCATCACTGAGATCTTTTTAAACTCACATAAATTGAAAAAACTTTTATGTAACAAACTATGCAAATAAACCTTGAAAATTCACAAAAATCTCTCTTAACATCGACTAAATAGACTACTTTCATATAACAACCTAGTAAGTAGGTAGTAAAGTAAGTTTCTTAGGAAAAAGTATTTAAAAATAATATTAATCAGTCACATTTTTCTTAAATATAAAGAAAACTAATTTAATAGGAACATTCTAATTTGAATTGCGAAAATATGATCTGAGAAATAACAACGCATCTAGTGTCTCATCACCAAGTCTGCTTCTCAATTTGTTGCACATATATGCAGCTGCAGAGAAAACGCGTTTAGGTTGATGGAAGTTGGAGGAATCGTTAGTAAATACTTATAAGCTTCGAGGACACGGGGAGGATGGAAGAAAACAGTCCGGTCGACACGGATCGGGATTGTAGGAGTAAAGGCTATAATCCCGATTGTTTCGATCATTGTAAGCATGTTTTTCAAAAAATAAACGCGTTAATTTTGTAAATTCGGTCTCTGTGTGAGTCTCTCAGCGTTCAGCAAACCACTACCCCGAAACGTAAAAAGACTTTCTCGCATCATCCTGACAGATCGCGGACAAGGCGAGGGTCATAACCTTTTCACCTAAGGTCGACCCCCCTAAGCGAGTAGCGTCAGGTCTATATTAACCACACTGGCAAAACAAGATGGCTGACACATTGACAGGTAAAACGCACTGAGTAGTGCTCTTGACTGCGCCAGAAAATCGATTGGCGCCCGCGAAAATTCAAAAATACAAAAATGAAGTATATTACCAAGTAACCCAGTGAGAACTGCTTGCCTATCATTTTAGTTGAAAATACAAGAAGTTTTATTCCAAGCAAGCATCGCAAGCCCGCTTGGTTAATTTCTGCTGCTTGCTTGGAATAAAATTTCTTGTATTTTATATTAAAATGATAGGCAAGCAATTCTGTTAAAAGCACTGGCACTGAACGTTTCGCTTCGTGCAGTCTATTTTGCAATTTTTTTAAAATGATGTCAATCCCGAAAATCCCGGGATTAGGAAAACTTAATCCCGAAAATTTTGGGACTGAAAAGTGGTCGGGATCCCGGGATCCCGATTTTTCGAGATCCCGGGATCAAATCCTCTAACCGCATCCCTTTGAATGAAGAACGTTTCAATCATAGGATAACATACATTGGATCTACATACAGATCCCTTGAGGCTAGAATACAGGACCACAAATATGATGTGTCCAAGTGGAAGTATAGTACTGCTCTAGCCCAGTATGCTACCGAACCCGGGGTTTCCCCATGTTGGGATGAGACTACTCTTTTGCATAGGGCCTGCGACCGACACGTCCTACGCTCGTTGGAGGCTATTGAGATTTATATAGAAACCATGAAGGGAAACTGCATTAACTCCGAGTATATTCCGATTCCACAGTCGTGGTAGTATTATTTACATTGCCACAAAACACAACAATAATTGTATGTGTAATTATTTTTCATCTTTCTGCTTTATAAAAGAAAGCAATTTCCACATCGTTTACATCATGCTAATTTTTACATTATAATAATAATTTATGCATAGCTTTATTTTAAAATAATTATTTTTATGTTGCAAACGTAATGATTTTTATATTGTACTGTACATCGTTTAAATATTTAAAAATTTGGAACACAGCTGTATTCAATGGTTAGAAGTTTTTAAATGATAGAACTGTTTTTTTTTATCCTGAGGAGGGCCTCTAAAAGACGGCCAAAAACGTTTGAGCATTAAAATTTTGTTCAATCAGTGCTGGAATTAGCATTTAGGTGTTAATTGTTGTGTTTAGTATATAGTTCCAGTTTACTTGTGCTAGTTTTTTGGCGGATATAGACATCGTTCTCCAGTGCCACGTGGTCGCCCTTGATGGGTATATCCATCAATCACTGCAAAGTGGTTAATAAACACAAGTCTTCCAACTCAACAGCTGACACAAGCCCAAACCAAAACATTTCCTCTGCCACGTCTTACTATTGGCACATGGTTTTCTTTATTTAGTTTATAGTTTGGCCTCTTCCACACCATGGTTTGACCATTGGAGCCAAAGGTGTTAAATTTGCTTTTGTCTGCAAACATTACATTCTTCCAGGACTCATAATCTTTATCCACCATGTTTACGGCAAAGTTTTTTTCGTTTCATAAAATTTTATCATGGCCACTCTACCATTATATCTGCTTTCTTGCAGGACTCTTCTTACTGTTTCTGGGTGAACATAAACACCAGTGCAATTTTTCAACTCTACTGCAAGTTTTGATGCACTTGTTTTAGAATTATTCTTTTATTTTTTGGATTACAGTCGACCCCCCTATAAGATAGAGATACATTCCATTCTTTAGGAATCCGATTTCTTACGAATCCTTCCAATCACAACCCGACACGTATCAAGTTTACGGACTACGGCTGTTTGAAAGATTTTCTTCCATAAAATTAATCGATTCTAGACTAATCCGACTCAACATTTCCAAAATACGTATATTTTTTTGGGGAATAATCCGTATAATCTACGCTATAAACAAAAAATTGTAGGATTACTTACCGAGTGTCACCATTCGACATCGCCATTGCTCAACATTGTTTTCGTCGTGGAACAGCTCAGCAAACCGCGGCCGATTTCTAATAACTTATTTTTCTGCGAATAGTTCCTTGAACTTCGGAGACATCATTAATATAAATAATTTTAATCGCCGTTGAATAAGAAATGTTTCTTTCACAAGAAATGTATAAAATTACAGTACTGTATTAGACTTACGGTACCTAATTTACATACTGACAGACGATAGTTAGCGTAAAAATCTCCGTAGCGTGGCGCCACGCTAGACGGCGGAAATTATATATTTAATTATAACAAAGTTACAATAAGTTAATATATAATTATATATACAGTACCTAATTTATATATAATTAATATATAATTATATGTACAGTACCTAATTTATATATAATTTATATAATACTGTCCAGACGATAGAAATCTCTCCGTAGCGTGGCGCTACGGACGGCGGGAAAGTAGTTCGGCTTTCCGATGACGTTTGAGGTAATTATAGGGAATTTTTACTGTTTTTTACGGATACCAGTCACAATTTTTTCGTAGTTTTATAGGAATCGTAATTATAGGGGGGTCGACTGTATACTGCACTTATCTTGTACTGTTAACAATGCAGTGTGTCCAGATCTTTGTTTATTCACAATTCTGCCTCATCTCTATATCAGGGATGCACAACCTTTTGTGAAGAAGGGCCAAATTAGGATTAAGTTTACTGACTGGGGGCCGGACCTCCAAGCGATTAATGCGATGGCTGAGATTGGATGCTGGCGGCAATCTTCTTGATGTCTGGTGTAATGGCAGATGTTGAAACAACCAGCAGATTTTCCAAATTCTCTTTGGTTAACCTGTTCTGTGTTTTGCACTTGTTTAAATTCATAAGCGAACATGCTTGTTCGCATACATAGGTACTGCCAAACATGCTTGCACAAAATCGAGCATTGTCTTTCAGTTTTGGAAATGATGTATCAGACAGTTCTTTGTAGAATGTGAGGAGATTAGAATTTTTAAACTGTGATTTCAATTTATCACTGCACTGGATGTCTATCAACTCAAGATGGACATCTGGAGGGGCATCTTCCACTTTCACAACAAATGGAGTTGAAAAAAGTTGCAGGTAGATCTTGAATTTCTGGAATTCACCAAACCTCTCATTGAATGATGTAAGGAGGGTGTAAACTTGGTCAGAGTAATCCATCTTCATATGTGGGTATTTCTCTTTCATGGCCTTGCAATGTGGAAAGTGTGTAAAGTTTTCTGATTGCATGTGGGACTTGAAAAGTGATAGTTTGGTCATAAATGCATTGATGTTACTTGTCAACTGAGAAACAAGTTGCATCTTTCCCTGCAATCTCAAATTAAGGTCGTTTAGATAAGCAGTAATGTCAGCAAGGAAAGCTAAATCACACTGCCATCTTTGTCCCTCCAAATTCCTTGTAGTGTTCCCCCGTTCTTTGAGGAAAGTGATAATAGGCCCCAATAGCTCCACAAATCTCTTGAGGACTGTTGCCTTGCTCAGCCAACGAACTTCAGTATACGTGGGCAGGTCAGCATAATCAGCATCTATTTCTTCAAGAAATGATGTGAAGAGTCGATGGTTGAGTCCATGACGGCGGATTAAGTTCACAGTATCATATACATCTTTCAGCAGACGTTCAAATCCCAGCTTCTTTGCACAAAGTTGCTGTTGGTGAATTATGCAATGATACTGGACTAACTCCTTTTGCCTGTCCCCAAGGTGGTTTTTCAGCAAGGTGACCATGCCATTCTCACATCCAACCATAGATGGTGCTCCATCGGTGGCAATGCTGGATAGCTTGTCAAAGTCCAGTGCTGATTTGTTGCAAACGCTCAATAAACTAGTAAATAAGTCAGCACCAGTTGTATGTCCAGAAAGTGATGCCATGCCAAGAAATTCTTCATTCACAATAAAATCTAGTGAAACACTTCTAATAAACACAATCACTTGTGCTGTTGATGATATGTCAGTGGATTCTTCCACAGCCAAAGAAAAATAAGCACAGTTTGCAACTAAAATATTAAGTTGGCCAGAAATGTCTGATGCAATTTGCGAGATTCTTTGTTGTATCGTCATGTGGTTAAGACTGATTGTTTGAAAACACTGTCTTCTCAGGACACATCTCACTTGCGATGATAAGACACTTTTTTATCATATCGCCATCTGTGAAAGGTTTCCCATTCTTGGCTATTAAAGCAGATATTTCTAGGCTGGCTTCAACAGCCGCATCCAATTCTCCAGATTGTTTCTTGAACACATTTTGTTGGCTGATTAGTGATCGTCGTAACGATTCGATTTTCCGTTTGCGTTCCGTACCTTGCAGAAGGAAATCCTTGTGTTGGCTTTCATGATGTCGCTTCAGGTTGAATTCTTTTGGCACTGCTATTGTTCCATTGCACAAAAGGCAAATAATGCTGTTGTTCTGTTGCACAAAACAGTACTTGTTAGTCCACACTTCCACTTCTTGAAACTGATGATTCTCGCGATTGACCTTGCGTTTAATGCCCGGCGCCATACTGTTCACTCTGCAAAACAATGTCTCATTGTGCCGAAAATTCTGAGGCCCGCAACAAATCATGTTTGAGATAAGGCAAGCTAGACTACCACGTGCTTTGTTCTGTATCCACTCTGACCAAAGACTAAAGAGGCGGGGACAGAAGACTATTACGCACACGTGGCCAGGCAGGTCTTAATTCGTTCGACCCCTGTCCGGGCGTCTCCACCATTTCTCAGAATTTGTGAGTCAGATCGTCAACATGCCAGGTGCAGGACACTAATCCATCATAAATGTGGTTACCATTCTTACCTAAATTATATTTATGGCCCGTCAGTTTTACCCCCGTGTTCAGAAATGAATCAAAAGTGATTAACACAGTGCAGTGGAAAATCTGAATATTTTAAATATAATTATTAAAATTGCGATATCTCGTTTCAAATTGGCGCTAGAATCAATTTTTTTTTTTTTTCTGTCCTAAATATATCACAGTTTACGACTGTTAAATTTCAAATAAAATAAAAATTAAAAATAATAATTTAATTTTAAATTTACGAAAAAAAGAATGTAAAAATAAAAGTAAATAAAAAGTTCCAATTAATTTACTACTTAAATAACCTAAATATATCTGTTTTCTTTCAAACAAAAAAAACCGCAGCTTTCTAGCTACACGGAATCATTTTACAACCCTCTTTGTTGACAAGTTTATGGCTTGACGCGGTTTGTAATAATTATTAAATCCAAAATATTTTAATGCAAATGGCTTCCTTTTAGTCGTAATGACTCTATTCCAACTACAGTATTAATTTTCTTGGTCCAACTTAATAATAATAAATTTGATGCGAAAAAATTTTTTTCTATTCTTAGTCTATGGAGAGATATTGTTGTAAATTATTGGTTGTTATAGCTTTTTGTACATTTCTTTTTGAACTCTGGTTAGTTTTTTCTAGTTTGAATGACATTAGGTTGACGAATAAGCGTCTTTTCAGAAAAGATTGATTCAAATTCGACTATACCAATCAGAATCTAGAATGTAAACAAATGCTAAAAAATCGTTATTTTCATGGTTTTTCAGCGCTATTTTCACTTATTTTTGTTATTTGACGCTATTTAGACGAATAAGCAAGTTTTCCGAAGCATAAAATTGAAGATTTCCCGCCAAAATAGAAACTTCCTGATAACATCGGAAATGACGTTCTAACATCATTTTATTCTATTTGATTCTTCAAAAAATCGTTATAATACTATGTATTAGACTTAAAATATTTGATATCTAAACCAGAAAGTGTTAGCTAGAAATAGACTTATTTATAGAACAACTCCCCATTTCTCACTTCAGGGAAAGTTATAAAACAGTTGGGTGCTAATGACTTTGTGAAAGGGAAAAGTTCTATACTTAGAAACTTGGAAAGAAGGGATTTGGCCTGTACAGTCGGGGGGCCGTATAATCATTGACAAGGGGCTGTATGTGGCCCGCGGGCCGCAGGTTGTGCACCCCTGTCTATATCTTTTTATAATTTTGTATACTGTTGAGCTTCTGCTTCTTACAATATCACTGATAGACCCAGATTCCATTGATCTATCACTTATCTTCTAATGTATAATGCAGTTTCTCTACAAACTTTTCCATCTTTGGCAAATACAATATGCAGAATGTGAGAAATAAAATTCACAGTCATTATAACTGTTTATGACTTTCACAGACTAATATGGAATTATGGGTAAATCTTATAAAAACCACAAATAATAATGCCATCTTTGAGTTTTTTGATGAATTTTGTGATGTCAATTTTATAGGATGATAAATATGTTTGGCTTTTATTGATAACATAATCATAAAACTGATACAATGTAATTATGTATAGTTTAATTGCAATAAAGGAAATGACAGACAAGCAAGTTTTGTTTAATGTTACTGGTATTTTTATTTCAAAATTACTAGTATAAATTAGTTTAATTAGAAAAGTGTTATGACTTATGAGTCACTATATATAAATTAAAAGTAAATTAAAAAGATCACTTTCAAAAAATAAGAATTATTTTGAATATTTTTTCTTATTGAATTATTCAATTCTACTAATTTTAATTACACAATGACATATAATGTAATTATAAGATATATTGAAAATTTCAATACAATTACACTAGTCTGATAAAATTAATTATTAAAAGACAATTGAATGTAATTGGTTATGAATATATATTTTAATCAATTATAATAATGAATATACTGTTTAATATTACATCACAAAAAGTTAAATTATCAGATAAAATTGCTAAATAGTTTGCTGTTTACACTAGTAAACAGGTAAGGATTCATATAATCATTTTTACACTGCAAATTTTTATAGCTTCTTTCTTATATATATGTTATGGACAAAGTGATTAATCAGGCATTATTCATAATGACCAAAAAGGGCATGCAGTGTGATAAATATTGATTAATTTATCAAATTGACCATTCATTATGAATACTGCTATCACCTAATCAGGCAAAGTGATAATAATACATTGAGGAGTGATCATCTGACATATGCTAGCCAATTGGCACTCTGAGTTGCTGATTGTATCGTGTTGAGTGCGTATTGCGTTTAGTACTGAATTTTAAATTGAGCGACATTTTAATTTGATTAAAAAACTCCACTTATTTCATTTAGAAATATTTATTGTTTTGTGAATTTTTTCAAAGTACAGTAGAGCATCGATTATCCGACTCAATTGGGGAATGGGGTTAGTTGGATAACTGAAAAAACGGATAACCGGAAAATATGAAAAAATACATTATTAGTATAGTATATTAGTATATCGCTATTAACCTACTTTGTGTTGAATTTTTATCGATGTTAAGCCTAACAAAAATTTTTTTAAATAACAATCATTGCTATTGTATCGTTAAAAATTAGAAAATTAAGCCTCATTTAAATACTGGCTCCCTTTCATGGTCTAGCCATGTTGCCAGCTAAAACACGTAAAAATACTATTAAAATAGCCAAGACATAGCCAAATATTGTAGCGCCATATCACTAGCGGACATTTGAATTTGCCGACTAGAACAGTCGGTTAACCGATGTGGCGGTTAATCAGGGATCGGATAATCGATGCTCTACTGTATTTTAAAAAGAACACGTAATCTTTTAAAACTAAGTACAGTGGTGCCTCGAATAACGGACGCTGCAAACAATGGACTTTCTGTTTGGCCATTATGTGACTCGAGCAACGGACTTTCCATTCGGCAGTTACGTAAGGCAAACAACGGACTTTCTGCGAACACTTTTGCCGTTGCCAATGACAATCTGCTATTTTCATAATATATTAGTATTATTAGAATACAGTCGACCCCCCTATAACGTACGTTCCTATAACGACAATTCCTATAACGTAGCAAAAAAATTGTAGCAACTTTCGTATAACGTACCTCCTATAATGTCGTTTCGCGACAAGATTGATAGAGTCTGGACCAATAGTGGATGAGCAGCCGAACTACTTTCCTCCGACCCTGCGCCACGCTACGGAGCGGCTAAATTGAGTTTGCTATCGTCTGTTTAGTATTATATATAAATTATATATAAATTAGGTACTGTACATATAATTATATATTAATTATATATAAATTAGGTACTGTATATATAATTATATATTAACTTAATTTATTGTAACTTTATTATAATTATATATATGCTTTCTGCCGCCTGGCAACACGCTACGGAGATTTTAGGCTAGTAAGTTGAGTTTATTATCGTCTGTACAGTATGTAAATTAGGTACCGTAAGTCTAATACAGCACTAATTTTATACATTTCTTGTGAAAGAAACACTTCTTATTCAACGGCCATAAAAATTATTTATATTAATGATGTCTCCAAAGGTCAAGTTATTTTTATGCGAAAAATTCGTTATTAGAAATCGCGGCCGCCGTTTAATGTGCTGTTCCGCGATGAAAACCAGCTTTAAGCAACGGCGTAGTCGAACGGTACACACTCGGTAAGTAATCCTATAATTTTTTGTTTATAGCATAGTTTATACGGATTACTCCCAAAAAATTATACGTGTTTTGGAAATGTTGAGTCGAATTAGTCTAGAATCGGTTAATTTTATAGAAGAAAACCTTTCGAACAGCCTTAGTCCGTAAAGTTCCCACCTATCGGGCTGCGATTGGATCATGTATTTAATCGTTCCTATAACGTAAAATTCGATTAGCGTGGAACGTATCTAAGCGTTATAGGGGGGTCTACTATATATTATTAGTATATCTGAAGTGCAGAGCTCCCGTTGGGATTCGGATTGCTCCCTTGTTTGTTATGTACATCATCTCAGTGCAGGGTATTTACATTTGTTCAAGTGTTGTGCAAATCATGGCTTCATAAAAACAGAAAGGTGATTTCAATTTTAATAAATCAGAAGGAATGAAAATTGACACGGACTTCCTTGTCAAATGGGGAGAAGTTCAGGAGTTTACGAACATTCACTATCCAAACACAGCTGAGGCCAACAGGATCAATGATCTCTACAATGACACCCTTGCCCGTCATTTCCGACAGGTGTTGAAGAAGAGAGAGAGACAGACCACCTTGGACATGTTTTTCAAGAAGCCTGCTGCCAAAAAACAAAGGATGGAACGAGAGGAGTTGACCCTGCAAGCTCTGGTAGCCTCTCTTGAATCTGACTCCGATTAAAAAACAATAAAAGGGACCTGCTGCAATGTGTAAAAAATCTGTATCTGTATGAATGTGTGAAGAAAGTGTTCCTCCATCTCCTCCTCACAACATCTGACTACCCAGCATAATTGGTGACTGCTCCAGTTTCATTTTTTTCATGGTACAGTACTGGTTATTTTATGCTGCGGAACGAATTATATGTTTTAACATGTATTTCTATGGGAAAATGCGTTTCGTATAACGGACTTCTCACTTAAGGGACATGCACCTGGAATGGATTAAATACATTCTATGAGGCACCACTGGACTATTAACTATATTAATTAAATAGTAAAATTTTAATATGTGCAACAGTCATAGTGGCGGT